ATGTGTTGTCACAAAATGTAAGGTGCATTGTATTTATTCTTCATTTAAAATCTAGACAATAATAGTATTACTCTGCAATTGAAGCATACACATATACATATATGTGTGTGTGTGTCCAATTTACCTAATATGTTTGTTTGTTTGCAAAGACAACTATTTTGGTATCCACATGAAATATAATAGTGTGATATTTTATTTAATATATAATTTCCCAATGCCAGGAAGTAAGACATTTCTTCTTTGGAAAATAAATGACACTTGGAACAATCAAGATTGAAAAAAAAAGTTAAGTTTTTTGACAACTTTCTGGACGCTTAATCCTGTCACAACTCTGAAATATGTCAATGAGAAATTTGCATCATTCTATCATTTATGAAAGGGACAAACCATAGGAGTATCACTCATATCTTTGTTATTAGTCTCAGGATGAAAAATTAAGGTAAGACAGGAAAAAGCAAACCACTAAAGAATTATTTCAAATTATCATGGGATCTGGCTATCAATTCAAAATAAGGAAACCTAGTGAGAGTTACAGTAGAGTCACATCACTATTCATTTTCTCCCAAACAATAGTCAAACAGTATTTAATTCTAATGTATCTTTACTAACAACTTTGCAAGTCAAACCATCAAAATTTTATCTTTAGCATGTTTACAATTACTATATTGTCCAATGTAAACCCTTAGAGTGCCTTTTTAGGGCTTCATGTTCCTGGAAGAGAAAATGTACCATCATATTTAGACTTTGTTGAGTTAAACCCCCAATATTGTCTTATTTAATCCACTTAAAGTCAGTGAGTTTTTATTACGTACCTACTACATAAGTGGAAAATTCTTCAGAGTCTGCTGGACGTAGTGTCACATTTTCAATATATTTAAATGAACCAAACGACTCTATTTTATATACCAAACTGCTTTTACAAGTATCACTCATCGTCGATATTTAGAGTTGACAAGGACATCATCCACATCAGAACTCATATTCAGCTTTTGAAAATAACACCTTTTTCATCATTACTAGGGTTTAATATCGATTCTATTTGTGATTTTTACAAATTCTCAATCCATCATCTTTTAAACAATTGAATAGAATGATTTTAGACACAAAAAATGAGCAAGAAAAATGCCTCATTAAAAAAAAAAGAAAACTATTAACCAATTGGTTCATCCTAACAAAGTTTAAAAAGTTGGAAATATTCTATGAAATTATTTTATTAGTCCACCAAGATGAGACAGTACGTGAGTACTTGATCTGTTGTATTATGTACTTTCTATTGCCGTCCAAAATTTAAATGGGTAATTTCAGAAACTGAATATTTGTGGATTTTATTGTACAGAAACTTCTTTTTAAAGGACTGATTCTTTTATGGGGTTCCTAATGTAACTGAATTAAACCAATAATGGCAGTATCTCAAATATTTTTATCTTTTAGAAAATTTAGTGATAGACATTTAGTATTTTGGTTATTACTTTTGGTCAAATTTAACATATATCATCCTTGAAACCAAAATATCTATATCCATTAACTACTGAAAAATGAAAGAAAACTGCCTGCTTTTGGGTTGTCTCAAATATTTTTCAAAGGCTATGTTTGCAAAGATAGCTATTTTTGTATCTACCTGAAATAAAATAGTATGAGAGTTTAATTTTTAAAACGTCCATATTAAATGTATCTTTAAAATATTCATTTTTTTCATTCTTCATACAGTGAGTATATCATGACAGAAATATGTGTACTTTTAATCACATTTTGAAATTTGACTACAAGGACTATTTATTATAGTCATGTTTTCTGTTATTGAAATGGTTATAATTATATACTATCTGTATTTCATATAATTTTAGTTTAATATTCATCAAAGTGTGAGTTTCCAACAATGTGAATAGTTAAAAAGGAAAAACAATATTTCAACCTAATCTTACAGAGATTAGATACTGTTGAAATTAAATTCAACTATAAGCCAAAATTATCTGCCCCTCCCACAGGAAATTGGAATTTATACCCCAAATGATAAGTGAATTAGTCAGGTTTAGACTTATGTATGTAAACTCTATACATAGAATACTTTAGAATGTCAAAGTATTCTCAGAACACTAATTTAATTTTGAGGCAGAAGAATCAGTATGAAATTATCTCTCCACTAGATAACCAACACACTTTATTCTTTAATTTGACTTTTTTCTTGGTGTATACATTCCACAAAACAATAAAACAAGTTCTGTAAATGTGCTTTATTCACAGACAATCTAGACCCCACAGATTTACAAGAAACACTGTAGGAAAATCCCAATTAAAATAAACCTAACCAGTCACATACTATGTCTTTATATTCAATCTAACATGACAAATTAAAAAACCCAGTCTGTAACATGGTGAGGAATAAATTTAATGTTAATTCTCTAGAATATTAAGTTTCAAGACCTATTTTTACCCTTTTGCACCCAAAGGCTCAGAACTTGATAAATGAGGTTGACTTATACCTACTGCTTACGTTTCACTTTTAATTAGACTGGAAAATCACGTGTGTTTGTCCTCGGTCAGTCCATTCAACAAACACCAATCACCTGACCCACATTCTCCCGTGATTGATTTTTTCCCAAATTCTGCTTAAATTTGTCTGGGGAATGCTCAGCATATTCATTTGTCAAAATAATTTTCCTTTTATTTACTAGAAAATGTTTTCTCCTATTTACAATTTGTTTTTGAAAATATTTGTAAACACCTACACAAATCAATTACGTGTGATTATGAAAACAATCAAATCACAAACATTGTGTTATACTTTGATTCAGAATAAACAGACTTAAAGCTTACTTGTGTCAATGGTCTCAATCCTAACATGCTAAAGAATAGCAGAATATATAGTTCATGCTTTTTCTACTTTTTAGTTCTGTATGCAGCTTTCTATCAATTTCATATGGTTTCAAGTACTTTACCAGTATCATTTTATTTCATATGTATTTTATCACATAAATAAAATAGTCCTAGTTAAAATGATCCCAAATGAGGTTAACAGGCGATGAAGAGGAAAGAGGGATTAGCACTAAATAGTTTAATTGCTGAAAGTCATAATACAACTTTAGAATATTTAAGATCTTTACTTATAAATAAAAAATAAAACTAATATATTTACCACTTCCAAGAAAATATTTCCAAATTTATTAATAATAATAAATATTTAAAAAGTAATTTATTGCTGGTAAAGTACCTTTGCATATGTTTGGATCATGGATTAATTTTAAAGTTGGTAACATTTGTATTGATAGAGCCTTAGGCAAGATCTGAGAAAAATATTTAAATGAAGAGATAATATTCATGTATGAAGAAGAATGCTTTCCCTAAAACCATTGGAAATGTTGACATCCCTTTAAAAACTTGAAACATGAAACTAATAACTTAGAAAATTTACAAAAATGACTATTCACAAAACCTCGTTCTAATTTATGTGAATTTCTGTTAAAAAAATAATTCCTTTTTGCTCTAACTTAATATTAATTTTATCACTAAATACATCAAGTGACTTTTAAAATTAAGTTATAACTCATAGAAGCTATAGCCTTTCTGAAAAATAACACAATTTTGACAGCTTACAAAACTGCCAAATGCTTCAACCTCTTCATGAAACAAACTTCTAAAAAGAAGTAATAGACACCAAAAATTAAGAAAACGTAATTGTGCTGTTAGACGAATTGCTGTCAAATAAGTATGAATTAAAATATCTAAGTTGAAATAGATGTAAAATTCTTTGTTTTCGGTTTCACTTGTTCCCTCGTTCAGTACACTTTCATGTGCTGAAAATATTTTTAAATTAAAATACATCCGACTTGATGTATGGAAAATGCTTTACAATTCTGAATAAACCTTTTTATTACTGCTGAGAAAACATGCAAAATGTGATGCAGAAACTATTCTTTATGTCTTATGTAATCTATAGCCACTATCTTAACATATAAATTTAGAACAATGTAAGCTAGCGTAAGAAAGTGAGGAGGTATCTGAAACGTGTACTACCACCAAGAGTGAAAAGGCAGGACAAATACCATTTCAAAGTGTTTTACCTTAATGCTCAGCTGATGATATTTTTTACATTAAGTTACACAGTATCTTGGCGGAGAGGACTGCATAATTGTTTCCTTATAGCATTGGGTAAGGTTACCAGTTTAGTTTCATTGTGTGGGATAACAGATCCAGCTGGGTGGGTTTGTGAATTTAAGTGGACAGGAGACAAACGTGATTTGGCACCAAAGTGAAGATTCATGGAGCTACATCCATAGGATACATGCATTACGTGATAGTAACAGACATTTACAACCCAGAATATAAGAGCAGGGCAGCCTCAAGTGACATCACCAGATCATCTGCAGCGTCAACCAACCGACTCACTATATCTCCTCCACACCACCACTCCTCTCTTTCTCACTATTAGCAAGACTTCCATCACCTTCACCCATGTAAAAGAGCATGTGTCTTCTTTAAAAGCAAGACCTATGCTTACTTAAGTGGAAAGCAAATAAGAAAAACCAAAGGAACAAAATAATAATAATAAAAACTAGACAGAGTGCATGTTTCACTAAACTGACATTCAAATGATAAGAATAACACTGAAATGTTAAAAGAGAATTTAACTTGGGTTTTCCAGATAAGATTTGAAGAAAAGAGGAAGGAAGAGAAAGAAAGAAAAAGGGAAGAAAGAAAGAAGGAGAAAGGAAGGGAAGAAGGAAGGAAGGAAGAGAAGAAAGAAAGAAAGAAAGAAAGAAAGAAAGAAAGAAAGAAAGAAAGAAAGAAAAAAGAAAGAAAGAAAGAAGAAAGAAAGAGAGAGAAAGAGGGAAAGGAATCAGCTGAATTTCTCTGAGGCCGTATCTTGTTTTAACTCTGATTTGCTCTGAAACTAGATAAATGTATCTTGATTCTTTTCTGAAAAAATAAATAACAAAGAGGAAGGGGAGTTCAATTGCCTCATTTTAATTATCTTCTAATTTATCCATAACTTATTTACTTACAGGCATTTGTTACAGCAAAACTGTTGGCTGTCTCAATGTTGTCCACATGAGGTACCAAATTAAAAGGAGCTTCCGACGCATTGGGGCTGGTGTTATGAAGAAAAATTGCTAATCGAAAAGCAGTGTATTCCTGATCCGTGTTTCGGATGAAGAGACCACCTATCAAAGACAGCAGGAAAAGCACATTCAGTGTTTCCTCTTGTAAACGTCCTACCCACCCCAAGCACTGGCAGATCTACTGCCATTCACAAGCACATACAATTAAGGAGCCCTCCCTGCCACATCTTGGGTGACTGCCCTTTGTCCCCTAAGATGCATGCTTGGTGTTTCAGTCTTTAGAGCAGCTCCGTGTTTTTTCTTGTCCCCATTTGTTAGGATCACAATGACCTCTGAGACCATGGAGTGTGTGTTCCTTTCTCTCCCTTTCCCTCCCCAGGATTCCAGCGCCGCTACATCAGCCAGCTCTGGGCATCTCTCTCTCTCTCTCTCTCTCTCTCTCTCTCTCTCTCTCTCTCTCTCTCTCTCTCTCTCTCTCTCAGATGCATGCAGATGAACTGGAAGAGATTTGCACTAAATCTCGGAAACGAAGGCACGGTGACATGTAGGGAAGAGGGGAATCAGAAAGGGGAGGTGAACTTTGTTTTTCTGCAGCTCGTGGACTCAGCCTCGATAGCTTCGTTGTGTGCACAGTTCACGAGAAATGATGCAGTGTTGAAGCTGGGCTTAGCTGGAAGAAATTCAATAGCTGCGTCCCATTAAAAGACAGGAGAGAACAGCAGGGGAAGCCAAGGATGGTGGCGGGGGGAGCGGGTGGGGGTCTCTGGAAATAAAGTCCAGGCAGAGAAAGAAGGGCAACAGCTTCGCCAGGAAAACAAAACAAAAGAAGAGAAGGTTCCTGGAAAGGGATCTAACTTTGGAATCTGCTAACCGGTAGCAAGAAAAAACAGGGGGTGCGGGTGGAAGGGTTTTTTTGCCCAAACAGTGCCTTTCTGTAATAACGAGAAAACTACGGCGTCCAGCCTGGGAAGAAGTGGATTTAAAAAAAATTTTTTTTAAACAAACTCGACATCTTTTCATGCTCTGGAGAAAGGGATGAAAAGAAATATCTTATAAAATACAACCAAACCCCAATAAGGTTCTCCCCCAACTTATTCCAACCCCACTTAAGCGACTATCACCGAAGGTGGAAGTAGGGATATGGGCTGAGGACGATGGGTGGGCTGCCCTGGGCATATTCCCAAGGAACCTGCACCCAAGAGGAAGTCTTTCTGTAAAGGAGAGAGAGGGAGAAGAGGGAAGCAGAGGGGAAGGGAGCCGCTGAAGCTTTCCCTGGACTGCTTACCAGCAACTCATTTAACTCACTTTCGGATACCCGCTACAGCCAGCCACATGCACACCCCACCGGGCCAGAGCTTACCTATTTGCACGCTGCTCGGAAAGGCTCCCATGGCGAGTCCCCAAAATCCAGAAAACAACAAGACAATCTGTCTGCAAATAATCCTCATCTTCTTTTCTCCTCTCCCTGGCGCGCGCTCTCTCTCACACTCTTCCTAAAGGCTGTTTAGAGAGGCATTGAAGACGATGGCGCTAAAATTAAAAAAAAAAAAAAAAGAAAAAGAAAAGAAAAGGAAAAGAAGAAGAAGAAAAAGAACGAACAGGAGAGAGGTTTGCGTGGTTTCAGAGGTTGACTGTTTCCACCTAGCAATCCATCGCGAGCTGCCAGATTTTTCCCGCAGTCTCCATAGCCCTGGGAGAGGTTTTCCGTCCGGCTGCAAATGTTGCACATGCAAAAGATGGTGGTGGAGCGTCTAGTGGCTGCTCGCGGGGACGAGACATGCGCTCTCTCGGTGCCTCGCTCGCACTGGCGCTCGCCCCTCGCCTGCTCGCAGACACACAAGCGCCGGGGCCGCGGCC